ACTGGCATTACCAAGGCACGATGCCCGAGTTGGTCTAAGGGGACGCACTCAAGCGCTTAGCTTGCTCATCTCTCGGGTTCATTTGCGTTCAGCGTTTGCTGGCAGGAGTTCGAATCTCCTTCGTGTCAACCTTTTTTGTGTTTATATTTGGTTAATAACTTATAGGTGTGCTACTAGAGGCCAGCAAACGGACGAGAACAGCATACTGTAGTCAACACTAGAACTTTGTCTGTGTTACGAGGCTTTTTCCTATGTATTTGGCCAAGTTTACCGAGAGTGGGTTAATTGATTCGACCAAAGGAGCAATCCAGACCGCTCCACCATCACCAAATACATTACTTTCTCTGATTCTTGAAACGTACCATGGCAAACGTCCCAGAGCTATTCGACATAGCAGAACAGATTCAGGAGGATGAACGCCGTGCTAGCCTTGACCAACCCGGCTCTTCCAGGCCACCGACCACCAGTGATGCGGCCCCTGTACCCCAGCAATCGCTCGGAGAGGAAGTCAACGAGGTTATAGGGCAGCTTGGCCGATTCTGGGGCGGGTTCCAGAAGCAGGTATGCTGTTCCCGCTCGTTTTTAGATACCACACTCATCTATTCAGAGTCAAAGTGCGTTCCGAAGCGCGAGCAAGGACTTTCGTTCAGTCGTAGAGACCGCTCGCAAGGAGACCAGTTGGCTCACTGCCAAACCTACTGCGGCCCCAAAGTCACCCGAACCCGAACCTGAAGCCAGTGGTTCTCAAGCCGTCGAAACCGCCGGCGACCAGCCTGCAGATCCCATTATCGTTGATACCAAGGGAAAAGAAAAGGAGATAGACGATGATGCCGCCACTATCAAATCTGGTTCTCCGACTACGACCAGCGCTATGACTGGAACCTTCTTCTCTCGGCTTCAAGCGGCTCTCCCGCCACAGTTTGCGCCTTCTGCAGTCACCGCTTCACTCCAGACTCAATTCACGAGTGCTCAGGCTTCAGCAGATGCGCTGCGCACATCTCTAGCAACCAATATACAGAGAATCCAGCAGGAAGGCGTTGCAGGCAGCGGACCGATTACATTCGCACAGGCCGAAAGGCTCGCAGAGGAATACGTTCATCGGAGCGAGGCTTTGCTCAAGAACGCGGGGGCGTTTTTGAAAGACGCGGTTCATGTGGTGCCTGGAGAAACGAACGAGGTGCAGGGAGTCGTATGGGACGGATCTGACGTGTGCGTGATGACGTCTTCCTTGGTATACCATATCTAACGAAATAGGTCTGGATAGGTGGATGCTGCCTAGTCCGAGTGGCACCCCAGCTCCTGCGGAAGGCAGCGCCGGTGCTAGTCGACCCACCTTGACTCATTCGGAAATGCTCCTCCGACGGCTCAAGCACGATCCCGAAGTCCTTCGGGCCGACCCATCTCTTACCCCATCGGTGAGCGAGCGGTACGAAAAGTATCTGGCCGAGACCAATACCGAAGGCCCAGAGTGGACGGAGCGCATCCGGGAGGTCGTAGCTGAAGCTTCGGAGGATTCTGACGCGCTCCTTGCTACTAAAGAGCTCCTGGGTGAGCGTTTACGTTCATTAGTACTGGTTTGTCTTACTTACACTTTAGCAGTCCCGTCAACCATTACCGAAGACGAATTTTGGAAGCGATATTTCTTCCGTGTGCTGCAAATCAGTGAGGATGAGGAGAAACGCAAGCTCATTCTTGAAGGTCTGTCCATCCGACTATTTGTTTGGATGAATTCTAAACAACAAACAGCTCCTACCCAATCCGATGATGACTTTAGTTGGGAAGATGACGACGCCAAACCAACCCCCTCTGAAACTTCTGAAGTTCAACCAACCACCGCCAATCTTCCTCCCCTCCACACGTCGTCCTCATCTACCACGCTCAAAACCCCGACAAACGGCCCAGAAACAGCATCCGCCGAGCCAGCTACCACTCCCACCGGACCTCCTCGCTCCGCATCCCAAGTCCTGATCGCCCACTCTGGGGTCAGCACCAGCAATACGAGCCCTCGCGAATCTGAATCAAGCTTTGATGTAGTCAGCGCAAGTTCGAGTGTTGCTGGAGCAGGGCCTGAGCCGAGCGAGAAGAAAGTTGTGCCTGGGGACAAGGTCAAGACTGAAGAGAAGGACGATAGTGATGATAGCGACTGGGAATAAGTGGACGACTCGTATGCTCTGTAAATTAGTTTTGAATTTGAACGAAATTTCTTTGCTGGAACGCGTGTCTAGTCCAAAATCGCATTCAAATGGCCAAGAAAACGAAGTGATAACATACACAAATGATACAATGTCTCACACTCTGAAGCATAAAATAATGAAGATTACCATAACTAATACCAGCTCGAACCCGTCCAGCGCTCCTCGAACTTACCATAACACCTTGAATAGTTTATGTAGTCATAAACGAACCCCCGGGTCTGCTGAAAGCCCCCTTCACCAGCTCATCGATATCGTGGAATGCGTCTAGGAAACCCGAAAAGTCATGTTGATCGGGTTGGGCATGGACCGGATAGTGAGCATGATCAGCTGTGGGAGTGGGCGTCGCGCA